TTTAATGAGAACACTGGATTGCCATAAGCTATTCCACTATAGACGAACACCTCAGTGAGTCTACTTATATTAAACAGACTCATTAAGAACTTCCTCCACTTTTTTTTTTTGTATAGATCTCAAAAAGGTAAAAGAAATGTCAGTGTCGGCAGCTATGACTACTTCAAGTGTTCGATCATAGAAATTGCTTTGGAGTCAAATAAATCTAGGTTGCAATTCCATCTCTGCTATTTATCAACTATGTGACAGTGAATCTGAATTTGTTTCTTTTCTTTCAAATGAGGATAATAAAGACACTGGTTTTACAGGTTTTTTTTTTTTTGAAGATTAAGTGAGATAACAGATATCAAGTACCTTGTATATAGTAGGCATTCCTTAAATTATAGATATTTTTATGTAATATATTATCATTTCTCTTGGAGCTATAAAACACACTCATCTCTTAGGAATGATGGAGAATGGGTGGGAGTAGGTGGTCCCTGAAAAGCAACACTCTTCTCTGAGCACCTTGTTAGGTGCTGAAAAGGGTGAACTCTATTGAATGTGTAACCATAGCAAGGTTATTCACAGATATTGAGACACACACAATCATTTTTTCCTTAAGAGATCATAAACTTATACACAAACCATCTGATTCGGAGGAATATTAAAAATCTATTCCAAATGCTTCATGTTCCAGATGAAAGAATCGAGGGGCCAAGAGTGGTTAAATGACTTGGTCAAGGTCAATTCACTCATTAGTATTTATTTAAGTGACTTAAATTCCCTAAGATCACATATTTCTTCCCTTCTAAAATACTCCTCGCTCCCATATTCCACTATAAATGTAAAACAGAGACAATTCACAAGAGACAATTATTAATGCTTTATTGTTACTGGCTCATTCTAAAACCCATAGATCTATTTTTAAATATTTTATTTTAATTTCTATCTGCACAAATTATGTGACTTCCTGCCAACTAAGACTGAAATAGCTACTTAGCATTCCTTTCCCATTCCAAAGATATGTCCTGTAGCTTTTCATTCTTCTGTCCATTATTAAGAAATATTCTGCTTTATCCACCAATGCACAGGAGAGAAAGGAACTCACATTGACCTAGAGAAAGCAGCTCTCTTCAAGTTTACCAAGTGAAAGGGGGTACAGGGGGACCTCTATCATCTGAACACTGCATACACAGGTGGCCATGTGCATCTTTGGCACTCTGCCCTATGGGTAGGGACAGATCACCAGCCCTACAGCCACCCTCATGATTTCCAGCAAAGGCAGCACTCTGAGGATTGTTTTTTGGTAAGTCCCTTTGTTTAGCACAGCGTTTAGCATTGTGTATTCTACTATAGGACAAATAAGCCTGAATCCCACATGGACCAAAGAACTTGGAAGAGTTTCATGATCACACTTACACACAGTAATCTCATAAAAGCCTCACAGCAAGATTCTCAAGCATTCCTCATGGAATACTCTCTCCCTAGATCTTCACAAGGGTTACTCATTCCTAGAAAGGTATTTTCAGCCTAGCGTTCTCCTCTTTGGCGAGACCGTCCCTCACCATCCAACACCCAGTGGCCCCCGAATGATCTCTCATTTTAGAGATCAAATGAGATAGATGTGTCCAAAGTGCTTAGAACAGGATCTGGCACTAAAATTCCTTAATACACAGTAGTTATTATTACCTCCATAATAAAAGCAGAGCATATTATAAAAAGTCATGGGAAGATTTTTTTTAATATAAATATTCATGTTGAAATCAAGGGGTCTTAATTTGGCCACATAAGGTAAATCTTTTAATTAATTAAAACCAGGTTCTTCTTGTGGGTTATACAAAGTTATTCATCTTTATAAAGGATCCCTAATTTAACTTTTGCAATAACTACCTTTTATAATAAATTATCATTTGAGACCTTCTCCTTCACCTTGGTATCCATTTGGAAAATGGCATCTTTCTGTGAACTTATGGCAAGAATTTTAAAGTAGAATTTTAATCCCTTTTTGAAAATGTGTACTGGCAACGTTTTTCCATTTGTGTAATATAGGAAAGTGCTACTTTCTATTTCTCATGCTACTGCATGACTTTGGCCAGAGACATCCTGAGGGTTTTAAGAAAATCACTACTCTTGGAAGACTAGAAATCTAATTGGGAGAGAAATTCCTCCTTTCCTTTTATTACACCTTGAGTCTCCCATAGTGAATGAATGCTTTCATTTAAAACCCAGATTTCTCCGCATGCCTCAGCAGATGGTTCAATCAAAGGAGCACTGAATAGTACCTGGCTATTTGCCACTGGCTGGGAAGGGGACCGTGGAGGGAAGACCCACTCATTTGCCTGACACAGTCCAGCTCTCTCTGTCTCCCTTCCCTTCTTCCTTTATCTCAGTCTTTCCCTTCCTTACAATGTCTGGTCTAGACTCAGCTTTGTCTGCAGAAAATTCTAGCAACTGCCTCTGGGCCAGGTCAGCCCGAATCTATGTGTTGAGCAGTGAATTAAAAGCAGTGAATTAAAAGCTGTGGGATCCGTAAGTAATGGTTCACGTAGGCCTCTATATGAAGTTATAAGGTAACCCATGGTAGAGAGATTTTAAAACAAGGTGTGAGAGTTTTGTCGACATTCTTGCCCTTTGATCCTAAATCTGAAAATAAAAAAGAAAGTATATCTGAAGACAAACTCCACTTTCGGTCAGTTTGCCTTTCACTTTGTGGTTTCTCTTAAAAACCTCTCTATCTTTGTCTCGCTAATGAGATAGTTTGTGAGCATATATACAGACTCTATAGACTGAAAAATAAATTCTCCATTGATAGCATTCTGTTACTCTATTTTTTCTTTATTCATTCCCAAATTTTAAAATAAATGTACTGAGGGAATTGAGAAAGGGAAACTAGGCAAATAAATATTGACCCTGCCAGAGGGTTTGGGGAAGGTACTGGGAATTTTTTTTCTCTACAAATTTAAACGTCTCTCAGTATGTTTCTTTACAACCCAGGCAAGTAACTTCTTTCTTTCTTCTAGTCTCCTATGCCTTCACCGAATCCCGAGGGGCAAGGAGGAGAGGCTGTTCTGGGGTGGATACTATGACCTCCATTAGCATCCAATTGTAGGGAACTTTTTTTAAGGTGCAAATTCCTGGGCATCTCTGTGGAGTATCCCATATCATATTTTTAAAAAGTCTCCAGAAGATTCTGATATTCATCCAGTCTGAGAATCCCCATTTTAGGGGAACAGTACACCATAAGTGGCATGAGGCCAAGTATAACGGCTGTTTGCTCATGGTTGTATGCCCATTCTGTTCCTGGCACGTAAAGGACACTCAATCCATATTTGTGTGTAAATTTACTCATAGGAACACACTTTGTAATTTGTTCTCATCTGCATTCCATCCTCTAGTACTCTGCAAATTACTTAGCAAGTGGTTCTTAAATTGGGAGAGGAGTTGTGAGACAAGGAGCATAGACTACTTTGGGAAATCGATGAAAGCTAATGAGAGCTAAAACACACAAAATTTGGCCTACAGTTTAGGGGAATTCACAGTCTTCCCTGAAACTCATCCATGGGTTCTGTTTATTCATTCACTTATTATTCATTTTGTAATGCCCATCTGGGTGCTGGCAGGGGCCTAGGAACTCTAAGGAACAAGATCATGGGCCAGGTTTAGGCAAGATTTCCAGCTGGAAGATGGCTCACAGATTTTCTTGTCCCTCTCTCCTCAGATTTATAGAGAAGACCTCCCAATTTTGGCCCACGATAGAAGAAAAAGAAATTAAATGAGATTTGGAGCTCTTACCACTTTCTGTCTTTGTAACCTAGAAGTGTAATTATATGTTTTATCACTTCAACTAGATTTTTGACTCCTTAAATCAGGGCCCACATCCCCAGTATGTTGATCAAGGTACTTTAGATGTACCAACAACACAGCAATTGCTTAGATGTGTGCATTTGGGATGAGTAGGAAGAGGTGGTAGATGTTGAGGGAAGAAAGCTAAAGATAGCCTGAGTGACTGCTCAAGAATAAGAAAGTGGATGGCACCTGCTTTTGCTGACTAACTTAGGAGCCTCTCAAGGTTCCCTGATTCCTTGTTTGCAAACCAACCTTCCCCGGATAGATATAAACCATAGATAACACCTTAGGCAACTTTTTGCTTTTGGTTTGATTTGTTTGTTTTGTTCTTTACCTGTGAAACCTGGAATGAGAATCTAGGAATCCAGGACCTATTTCTAGCAGTGCAGTTTCAACTCAGCCCCTTACCCTTTGGAGCCTCTGTTTTCTTCCAGTGCAAAATGGCAGAGTGTGGGGTTGGGAGTAAACAAGGTATGTTCTCAAGGTTCACTTGAGACCTGTTATTCTACTAAATGAGAGGCCAATATTAAAAGCCCGAATTGAATTTTCCATACTCATACTGGTTAATATCCCTCATGGTATTATGTTAGGGGCAGGTTTAGGGGTGTGATGGTGATTTATTGTCAGCTATTATTTGTTTGGTCCTTCTAATGTTTAATATTTATTGCTATGTTTCAAATGCAAGAGAGTTAACTCTAGATTATCTACTAGTACATTTCTATAAGGATTTGTAATCCCCCAGAGCCTCCTCTTCTACCAACTGGTCAGATTCTTAACCACCACCAACAGAAGACTTTGGACAAAGGAAAGGGTCCCCAAGAGTCTGAAGCTTAGAAAGCTTGACGGTTGAGCTAAGGAAAGGGATGACCTGACTGTGTTGCAAGGCCTTTGTCTTTCGCTATTGGCGTTTGTAGTACTCCCTGTTTTATAGTAACTGTACCACCTTTTCTACCCCATTACATAGAATAATTTAGGAGTTGACTCTGTAATAATTGTATTTATTTTCTTTAAAATGCAAATGCACTGTATCTATTTATATCTGTGCCTTATTTCTCCTTTAAAGTCCTGACTAACAATAGTATCTAAGGAAGAAATTATATTTTAAAATATATAGTCTACATTAACGAAAATTCTTTCCACTTAATTATCTTTCCATCCTCCTTTTATACCAGATATCATTAAAACATTCCAAGATCATCCAGTCGAATTCTACAGGGATTGGCGATCAACCGGAACACTCTGACGTGGATATCTGATTGCTTACCTGTAAGTAGAGTTTATGAGATTGGTGCCGAGGGGGAACTCTGATCTTAGCAATTATACAGCCTGTCCGCCTGATTTTCTAAATTATTGCATTTCCAGATGCATCATGAGAAAATAAGCTTTCTGCTATGCCCCTCGTAGTGTACTTACCAGTCGATTAAGCTATCGAGTTTGGAAGAAATTGTTTTGTAATCTGATTTTTGGCTTTATTTTTTTTTGTTTTAAATTTTTCCTACATATATATCTTAAGTAAAACAGTCCCCAAACAATAATACAATCCTCACTTCCTGCAAAGAATGCTGATGGTTTGAGGGAATAAAAAGAAGATGAGTCAGTCTTCCAGGGGAAATAAGCTTCCCTTTTATGCACGCACTGGTGATTTTGCTATGGCCACCACAGCAAAATACCACCGACTGGGTGGCTGAAACAACAGAGGTTTATTTTCTTAGAGTTCTGGAGGCTAGAAGTCCAAGATGAAGATGTCAGCAGGTTTGGTTTCTTCTGAGGCCTCTGTCCTTGACTTATAGATAGCTGGATTCTCCTGTATCTTCAGAGGACCATCCCACTGCAGGCATGATCCTCTCTCTCTCTCTCTCTCTCTCTCTCTCTCTTCCTCTCTCTCTCTCTCTCTCTCTCTCTCATAAGATAAGGACACCAGTCATATTAGGCCCACCCTAATCACCTCATTTTAAAAGCCCAATCTCCAAATACAGTCACATTCTTAGTTACTGGGGATTGGGAGTTCAACATATGAGTTTGGGGAAAACACAATCCAGTTCATAACACCCCATCAGCATTTTTCTCTCTAATATGCTGAATTTTAGTTTACTGCATATGGACTTCCCTCTCATTCTCCTCTTAGCACTTAAACATTAGCATTTGAACACTCTCAGAGCATTTTGTGTTTCTACAATTTGTTATAGTCCTTCGTGCATGGCTCTCATTTGTCTATGACCTTACATAATTTTTGAAATTGAAAAGTGTGCTGTGCCTTTTACATCTCTCATAGCACTAGAAGAGGTTTTGTGTGTAGTAGACATTTCATAATTATTAAAAGACTGAATAAATGAATGAATGAATGAATGACCCAATGAATGGGTTAGATGCAGCCCCTGAACTTACCATTTATTTGCTTTACGACTACCTCCAAATGACGATTATTAGAAGTGCTTTCACTTCACTTTCCGCCCCTTGAAATAAGTCAAGGCTGGGGAGGGGCTTGAAGGAAACTATGATTGACTGATGGCAGGAGAGTTACCCCTCTCCACAAAGGGGTAGGAGACAGTAAATAGCATGAACGTACTCCAGATAAAATTACTCTTCCTCGAGAACACTGTTTGGGGACCAAGAGGGAAGGACAATGCATTTCAATCGAGACTTACTGAGTTTGAGGCCCTGTGGGACAAGGGCCTATGTCTAGAATGCAAGGGATATACATGTCTAAAGCTCAGGTGGCAACTAGAAATAGAGATATCCACAGTCGTAACCTACACATAGGGATTAAAATCATGACGGTGGGTGTGGCCACCCAGGAAGATTGCGTGGAAGGAGAGAAGCAGTGGTTTAAAAATTCCACCAAAAATTGTATGTTGGAAGCTTTCCTGATAAGTAACAGGAGAGGGACCCTCCCAAGGGGAAAAAATCTACACGCTACTTCTGATGAGGGTTTGTAAGAACGTACATATTCGCTGGAGTGTATGTCTATCTATTTCTCTCTCCTCGTATTTCTTTGGTCCTATTTTATTCCTTCCTCTGTCCTCTCTTTTGTGGACTATGCCCTAAACCATTCCTGTAGGGCTTTTCCTACCTAACTTTGCTCCTCTAGCTCACTCTGCCCATGAGCATGTGTTTGACTCCCCACCTGCCTGCCTAGGGCTCTCATACATCAATACCTTTGAAGACATTTTCTTCATCAGCCAATTAGAGCTCTCAGACAGGATCATAATAGAGGGCTGGGATTAGACTCCTTAATGTCCAAAGAGACAGAAAGCACATCCTGTACTGGGTCAGGTGCCATTGAACATCGTCTTATCTAGACAGTCAGTAAAGGGCCTAGTGGGTGGTGGAGTGAAATGTACCTCTTTTGTACCCTGAATTCCCTCCTTAGTCCATTGTTCCCTGCTGGTCTCCCTACACCACCCATGCCCTAGAGGAAGCTTTGAAAATATTTCAGGGTTCATGGCCAGCCCAGGAAAGAGGCTGGTAGAGAATGGAAGCCACAGAAGCTTCTCCTCTCTGAGACCTACCATCAAACGTCTTTTCTGATGGAGCCACATTTACCCCAGGCCTGAATTTCCCTTACTTTTTCTGCTTACTGTGATGCAAGTAAAAGGGGGAAAGGTATTTATTCGTTTCTCTTTTGTTTTCTAACATGTTATTTCTTTTTCTTTAAGTTTCCTCCTTGCTTTTTTTTTTTTTTCCTCTATCTCCCTTGGTTCTCTTTCTTTAGCAGAAACCCTTGATCATTCTTTAGATTGTCTGATTATTAGCAAAAAAGGCTATCGGAGGTCTAGAAGCTTCCTCTTTCTTTGCATACCCCACCCATTTTTTAAAAATGAACTTTGAGGTATCAGTTTTCTTCAAATACCTTCTTCTATTCCTTCCTCTTAGTGTCCTTCGAGTAGCCAGGAAAAAGATCCCAACTTTCTTTCAGCTACCCAAAATGTCAATAACACCTGAGTCAGTGATTTCTATGCAAATTATTATTTACCTAAAAGGAGAAATTTTAAAGTCAAGAGAAAACAGCTCTGCAATCACTGAGGGGTATTCCAAATGAATGGTGGCCAGTGGCCAGCGTAGGTGCCTCCCAACTGTGTTTCATTAATCTCAGGCAGCTGAAGGACTTGGAGAGAAAGATAATTTTCCTACGAACATGTGAAAGAAGTGCTTTGAGTTGTGTGCAGGCTTTGCCCTTGTTTTAGAACAGCAGAAATGGGAGATTTTATAACCACGGTGGGCCAATATTTTCAGTCACTTGAAGCTCCAGATGGAGTGGAAAGAGAAGGAGTTTTTTCTTCCCTTTTCCTTGAGTTTTGCTGAACAAGCCTCCCTGGATGCCCTTGACAAAGTGTTTGGTCTCCTGTTGAGTTCAAGTGTGCCCACAGTTGTCGAAGCGGGGTCTGAAGGGTCTTTCTTACAGTAGGAGTCTTTTCTGCAGATTGCTGGTTGCCGCTGTAGAACGACACTCATGAGTGAGAAAGTATCGAATCTACCCCCTTCCCTAAGAGTCGCACCCCAAGGAGACTGCTTTCAGGTCCTCATCATGGGGTATAAGGAGGAAAATATGCGATGAACTCCAGTTTGGTTAGGGATTGAGGGGACACGAGGAATACGGATTCCTGTAATCTTCTCGACAGTCTGAAAACCTTCATGATAAGGAGGGCAAGAGGATGTTCAGGTGTCACCATGTGCAGATTTTTAAGCTTTGGCCAAACGATGGGGCTTTCCTGGCCAGGAGACTGCACTGAGCCTTGAGAGGCGCCTCCACGGTAGCTCACACTCCTGCCCGGCACAGCTATTGATGGAAAGAGTTTGTGCGAGGCTGGCCAAGCCGAGATGGGGACACAAAGGGCAGGGAGGAAACGGACAAAGGTGCCAGGAGCTTTTGTCTAGAACTTTCCAGACTTTTGTTCTAATAAGCACAGGTGATGATTATGCAGTAAAGAGGAAAAGAGTGACTGTGCTATTTAGCTTTCAACCAAAACTATCGAAAGTCTTACCTGAGGTTCCAGCCGCGATCGGGTGTGTACAGTTCAAGGACACAGACTCGGTCGCTCCCAAACTCTGCTTTGGGATGTTCAACAAAACGTAAGTTGTGAACATCTTGCACTAGTCTGTGCAACGGTCCTCCAATACGATTAGGTAGAACACGCACTCGATCTGAAGAGGAAAAGAAAAATGAGACATTTTCCTTTCTATTATTCTCTGTATCCGAGGTCCAACTTAATGTCAAATTAAATCTAGATTTCTTTTTTTAATTGACTTTTACCAGAGGAAAAAGCAAAAAGTACATTCCCTGAAACAGATATTTTAGGCCAAACTTATTACTTAGGTTTTTATTATTTTTTTTCCTCCTCTTCTTTTGCTAATTCAAAACAACGTGTCTATCATTCACTCTAACACCAGCCTTTAAGAGCTGGAGACAAATGGAGTCTGAATATTCACGCCAATGTGGTACAAATGAGCTGTGATTTCAGGATGCTGGCTTTCTCTGAC